TTTTTACTACTCTTAATAATACAAACAGTTCTGTATCATGTTTATTTGTCAAAGTAAGTACAATGAACCATATATCATCGTAAACAGAAAAAAATGCACTTTTTAAAAATGTCACAGCCAACTATGATTACCATTTAAAAAAATTTTTGCGTTATAAATCGAACATTATAAAAGAAGAATAAATATTAATAAATGTATCTTATCAAGCGGAAAAAAATCTACAATTTTTGTTCTTTGCATATTTCTGTATTTCTAATACTAACGATTCTACAACAGTTAAATGAAAAATCACTAAATCTGTTTTTCGCTCATAATGTAAAAATAATAATAATTATAAAAAATTTTACCCTAGCAACACAGTTTCGTATAAAAAGCGTTTATTGTAGACTAAAACCCCACGTATACCTATAATTCGCATAAATCTTGGCGGATATTGCAATAGGAATATTATACGTTTACAAATATGAATAAAAATCTTATTTTAAACGTAGGTAAATTCGCCTACACAAAAACGTGTACGATACCATCAATACCGAATTGATCCTATAAAAGCGCTTTAAAAACGTTTTTTAAACGTAAGTGTGTTTGCTGCATTCGATGAGTACAATTATTTCCGAAGTAAATGACATTTTTAGAAAGTGTATCAAATTTGTTAACTGTTTATTAGCGCTGGTATGTCTTGTCTCAGTTAAATTTATTTGACAGTGAATTTCCATTTGCATCAGCAGTTGTTTATCAAAGAAGTTTAACTGAAACAACAAAAACCGTCCCTTTTTACGTTTTCTTTGTTTATAGTCAAACCAAATATGGCTAAGCTGTGAAGGGGAATATGATGCAGATAAGGAGCACTTGCATAACGCAACGTTTGGCTACTATCCCCCTAGTGGCGGATTTCCATCTTACTATTATCCCTACAATCACACGAAAAATGAGTATTTGAGTCCAATAATTGCTGTTCATATAAAAAACGCGCCAGGTAAGAAGTTGTTATACTATTACATTCAGGTATTATCTTATAGTTTTATTTTTAAAATATAGTTAGATTAATTGTTTGATTTTTCACTTAACCATGGGAGTATGGAGGCATAATAATTGTCTCATCTTGCGTATTATTAAACAGTACTGCAGTGATATTTCTTAAGAAGTAGATATAGGGATTTACGTGTCTTGTTTTTCCCTATAGCTACTTTTAAATGACAAAATCCTTCAGAAGGGCGCCTGATTTTATGCAACCAAAATAACAAAGATTTGTCAAGTCGTATTAATTAATGTAAATATTGTTGCTTTGGCTTCTGTATTTTTATTTTCGTTCGTATGCGATGTATATAACTGAAGAGAAAGTTGATATTATCAAGGCGTAAGAGTTTTATTTTCTGTGGAGTATGTAGAAAGGCACCCTTATAAGAAGAGATTTTGTCTTAAAAGGAAAATCAATACATGCAGTGGCGTATTTACGGGGGGGATTAAGGGGATATATCCCCCCCCCCCCCCAGAAGAATTGAGTTATCATAATAGCTATTAGGTATTTAGGTAATACTCCGCTATCCGCTCCGCCCACTTTAAAATAAAGGCAATAATATATAGGTATATATAGAGAGCAATTTTGGTTTTGGTTAAAGTCTAAAGTCACTAAAATCTAAATATTCTGAGTATTCAGTATTCACTATTCAGTGAGTGATCAGTGTTGGCAGTCAACGATTTGGCTATTCGGCATCGATCGGCAATTCGCTACATTGATGTCCAAAATAACAAATAGTATCAGGTACTTAGTACTGCTACTGAGGTGAAGTACCTGCGTCCTGCCTTTCACGAAATGACGAAAATAAGAATTTTAAATTTTAGAAACAGGAATTTTTTTGCCCATAGCTTTTGATTGAGACGTCTAATCGAAAAAGTACGAATCGTTTTGGATTCTACGCACCCAAATTAATAAGGAAAAGTTTTTTCCCGAGAAATTTTGGTGCAGTCGATTTTTGGTAAAAAAGGAAGGTAATAACTGCCTTTTTTTTTGCCCAGAAAAAAAAATTGTCTCAGATCGACCGGAAAAAAATATTTTCTATAGAATGTGGCCTGTAGAATCATAATTCAAACAGTTCCAAGATCGGACTACTAGATCAAAAGTTACAGCCCTTTGAATTTTTTGTCGAATTGGTTTTTTGCCCATAAATATACCTATTATTCAAAGTTTTCGTTGACTAATTAAAGCAAAAGCAATAAAGTGGCCTGTCAGCATTAAGAAATAAAATTCGAATCTAATCTTTTTCGCCTGTACAATAATAAATAGATAAATGACTACCAGCATCAGCAACTTGCAACCCAATTTCTAATTCTTACCCCCCCCCCCTCCCCCTTTCTAGTACGCACTGGGTGACTGTATGTGCCACGAACTTGTTTAATCCCCCCCCCCAGAATACATTTCTACGTACGCCACTGAATACATGTAAATCCCTATCTACTTCTCAATAAATATCACTGTATAAGTTGCCACACTACTTACACAAATCACCTTTCCATTGCAAAATATGGGAGGAAATTCCATTATGCCATTTTTCATTATGATTATCACCTTGCAAAGATTTGTTCCATAATTGTACATAATTTTTCGATAACTTCTCGCATTAAAATATTTCAGCTGTCGCGTGATACCCTCTTTTGTTTTGCAGGTGGAGTTATGATAAACATTGAATGTCGAGCGTGGGCTAAGAATCTTGTTTATGTCGGAGGTTCGCCTCACAAAAGGAAAGGGTCCGTCCACTTTGAACTTATGCGAGATGATGTTTTATAAAGCGTACTTGCATTTTTAGACAAACCAGTTTTCCCTATTATTACTGTACTTAACTGTTTTGTCCATTTAGTGTTGTCATTTTTGTTCTTATTAGTGGCTGTCTATTAACAATGGTGTCAATATTAATAGCTGAAAATCACGTACTTAGTTTTGTAATATTTGCCCATATGGACAACAATTTCGTAAGTGTATATCAGTATATGTAAATATTTATGTAGTATTTAGTGATTAGAATTATTTGTGCCTTCTGTATTGTGCAGAATTCTCCTATAAGTGCTTCTTATGAATATTGAAGATCGCATTAGAAATATTTTAAATAGGATTGTTGTGATCTTGACAAATATATTCTGGTTGCATCTGTATCTATTATTATATTATGTTATCTTTTTTTTGTGTACGATACCTTATTATTAACGAGCGAGTTCGCGATTTTGGACTTTCTGTTTGTGTAAAAGATAACTCCGGAACAGTTTTGAATTTTCCAATTCTGTTTTCAGTATTTTTTTATCATCAAGTCACCCAAGGAAGAACTGATTTAAATGTTCAGTGACCCAGGAGCTCGTTTGCTATATTTGTTACAAGTTTGTTTAATATTAAAGTAAAGGTGTGGTTATAAATATAGAGGAGTTATGTATATTGAGCATGTAACATATACATACAGGATTGGGCCAAAGACTTCACAGGGTTTCTTTATGGCACGAAGTGATATTTTCTAGGGACTAATACTGGTGTAATGAAATGTATGTTGTGTATTTGGATGACCTAATTTTTACCTACTTAGTCTTATACGACTAGGTTGTCATTTTCACTACTTGACTGTAGAACAAGGCTATTGGTGGGTTTATTTTGATGCAAAAAATGCATCTATTCTATTTACAAAGCATTTTACATTTTAATTAAGTTTAAATCTGGAACCGATCTCTGATTAGTTGAATTGCTAATATAGTTTTTGCACGGGTATGATTCCGATTCGCAATGCAATTTCATAATTGTCTTCGTTTTAATTACAATAAGTAAAGTAAATCCCAGGATAACAGTTAAAAATAATACGTAAAATATTATTACTTTCCCTGCAATTTCACATAAAAGCTACGGAAAAAATGGCCGGTAAGGAACTCACACCAACTTGTAGGTGTTTGACCACAAATTCTATTTTTTTGTTTATTCCATAAAAATGTCTTAAAAGATTTCCATTTTCCTTGAGAAGGGGGTAGTCTTCTATCAATGAAATGAATCGCCAAAGTACTGGCTACATTCCCCGTAATGGTAGGAAAGGCTTTACTTAAAAAATGATGCATAGCTGTTGTCAAACTAAACGTCAACTTTTTTTTCAAAGTATTGGCTTGCTTGATTCATTATTTTATAAGGCTAATGGCCGTTTGCACCGACAAATTTAAACATAGCTTAAAATCCATGGCAACGATTATTGAGAATGGTTGCCATGGGTTTTAAGACGCTTGGATTTATGATTGTATTATAGGTAGATACATGGGAATTTAGTGTTGATCATCCTGGTCAAGTCTTCAAATGACCCATTTTGGAGAGAAATGTTTCTTTTCCCATATTCACAGTTGCCGATTCCATCAAGTAGGTATGTGAAGGATTATGGATTGGTTAGCGTAAAGATCCATATCACCTACAGTCCAGCATTCTCAACAAAATAGTGAAACAAATGCAAGTAATCTAGGCGATAAAGACATCTAACTGGACATTTTGAGGTGGAAAAGAAAAAAATGGTGGAATATGTTCAGTTAGGTGTCAGAAACAACATATTAAAAATCCCACCCCCCAGACACTGTGCTAAAGGCTCCAGCCACCCCACCATCCCCCAAAAACCGTGTTTTCGCTCTTTTTGGCTGATATCTCGCGATAAATGAGGTCTATATGAAATATTTTTAGCTGAAAATATTTCTCGGGAAATGTTATACAAGGTAGATACTCAGAAGTTAGCCTAGGTGTACCTCTTAGCCTAGGAAATTCATAAAAGAGGCGAAAATCATCAATTTTCCTGGCTTTTTGCAAATATATCGCGACCTTTAGGGCTAGATGAAATATTTTTAGCTGAAAATGCTCCTCGTGAAATTTCTTACAAGGTAGATAGTCTATAACTTTTGATTGAGTAGTCTGATCGAAAAAGTACGAATTGATTTGGATTCTACGCACCCAAATTAATAAGAAAAAGTGTTTTCCCGAGAAATTTTGGTGTAGTCGATTTTTGGTAAAAAAGGAAGGTTATACATTGCCTTTTTTTGAGCCCCGAAAAAAAAATTGTCTCAGATCGACCCGGAAAAAAATTTTCTTATAGAATGTGGCCTGTAGAATCCATAGTTTTAAACAGTTCCAAGATTGGGCTACTAGATCAAAAGTTACAGCCCTTTGAATTTTTTTTCAAATTGGTTTCTAGTCTATAACTTTTGATTGAGAAGTCTGCTTGAAAAAGTACGAATTGATTTGGATAAGTATAAGGATAATGATTACGTTGAGGTATAAATGAATGTGTGAATATTTTAATATGAAAATACTGTTTTTACGTGAATAAATGGTACCAAAGATCATACGATCTTTGATGGTACATAGAAATACTTTGTTTTACAATGAATATTTCCTCACACATGAAAGTTGAAGGTGAAAGGTGACTTTACGCCAACTCTTCAGTTACCTATCTCGTATGAAATTGCACGAAGAACATTTTCAGCTAAACATATTTCATCTAGCCCTGACGGTCGCGATATTTTTGCAAAAAACCTAAAAAAAAACACGAAAATGATGATTTTCGCCTCCTTTTATGAATTTTCTAGGCTAAGAGGTACACCTATAGGCTAACTTCTGAGTATCTATCTTGTAAAAAATTTCACGAGGAGCATTTTCAGCAAAAAATATTTCATCTAGCCCTAAAGGTCGCGATATATTTGCAAAAAGCCACGAAAATTGATGATTTTCGCCGCTTTTATGAATTTCCTAGGCTAAGAGGTACACCTAGGCTAACTTCTGAGTATCTACCTTGTATGAAATTTCCCGAGAAATATTTTCAGCTAAAAAAATATTTCATATAGACCTCATAGATCGCGAGATATCAGCCAAAAAGAGCGAAAACACGGTTTTTGGGGGATGGTGGCTGGAGCCTTTAGCACAGTGTCTGGGGGGTGGGATTTTTAATATGTTGTTTTTGACACCTAACTGAACATATTCCACCATTTTTTTTCTTTTCCACCTCAAAATGTCCAGTTTGCCAATTGTACAGTCTCTATCGCCTAGACTAAAGTAGAAAGTGAAAGTCCATCTTTCAGATGGTGATATTCATGGAGCTATACGTCTCATGAAACATAATTCCATCACTTTAAGCAATGATTTAACTGCTGCTTGAAAAACATTAACTTATCCTGAGTCTACTAGTTTATTGAAAGATCACAGTTAAGAGGTGGTTTGATATTCGGGGGGTCTTTCACAACCTTAAAGAAATCGGCGTAATAAAACGTATTGCTGTGGGAAATCCACGGAGAAGACTTGTGTTCATGACAGTATTTTAACGTAGGTATGAAACCTGAGTTATTTCACCTGATCAACTTGTAGTTGGGGTAAACGGTGGGGCTCAAGTGGGGACCCATACTGCGGTGAGATATTTCTCGTATGGAATACCCCCAGGAAAGGGAGATTTGGTAAGCCTTTCCCAAAAGTAACGGGCGATCAAAAATGAGTTGATGTCGAGTCGCCTTTGTACGATTTTTCGTGTAAACAAAAATTCCAAAGGTCACTCGACAGCAACTAATTTTTTTCAAGAAAAGATAATCATTTCCTCCTGTGCCGTTCACCAACGTGGTACACTCGTGTATATACGGTTGCCTACATACAATAAATTTTTCTGGGTAATGTTAATACCATAGAAGTATTTTTGGTTGATACCACTTTGTTATGCACTTGCGTTCTCGTTTTAAAAGACCGCGTGATTAGATACCACGTGTTAGTGAAATGTCGGTCACGTTATCCTATGGGATTTCTCGATTGTAAAGGAGTGGTTTAATACTGTACGGAGCGGGAGTATCGGGAAGTGATAAATCGGCAACAATTCGATAAAATAAAAAAAAAAACTTGGGTAGTTACTCTAGACACTTCCTGTACTATTTGTTTAATAATTTACGAAGTTTATTCGGGTTTTAACACACATTCTACCGCTGTAGTATGTGACATTTATACAGCAAATATTCATCCACTTAGGATTAAACTCTTATATACCTACCTACTATAATAATAATAATAATAATACGTGGGTATAGTTCGCGAGAGGGTTGAGTAATCGCGTAAAAACAATTGGCGCTGACAGCGGGTGTATCGATCGTCCATTTCCCTAATGTCTGTGTTGCAAGGGTTAAGAATAGTCTACCATTAAATCTTCCAGGGCAAACAGAAATGTAGGTATACATTTAATCGTTCCGCGGGGGTGTTGCCGAGTCTGCAGTGTGCTTTGAATTAAAAGGCAGAGCACGTACCGTGTTTTGAAACTGGGCAGCTCATTATCTGATTAAAATCAATTTTATTGTCATTGGTTCTGCCGTTTCTCTTGTCACGCTTCTAATCTCTTTTAAGTCTGTCAAATCCTATTGCAGAGTGCACTTTATTTTCTAGATCAAAAAATGGTGCAGGACCTCACGTAATCTACTGCGCTTATTGGGCAGTAGGTTTAGAGATGCCCACTATGCTCTCGGTTTTAGAAGAAGAAGAAGGCACCGTAAATGGATTTCCTTCTCACGTGGACGCCAGTGCAATAACAATTTTACCTCCGAGTCCGACTAATAAGCCGCTCAAAACTTTTTTGGACGTACAAACGCTCGTGCTGCAGGGACGTAAACAAGATGTTAAGAACATACTTCGTAATAACGGCTGGCCTGTAGATAATTTAATTAGGAAACAGTTATGGCCAATGTTATGTGGACAGCATCACAACAGTAAATCAAGTGATTCGGATGGATTTTACTGGGACATGGTTACGCAAGTGTTTGGTAGTACGGAAATTCCCGACAAATCGGTTAGCTTACCTCCGTTTGTGGAACCGGCTCACTGCCAGGCTTACTATCTTACACATCGTGGACGTAGTATAGCGGATCGTGTAGTGTCTGTTCTCGGATACGCTTGCCCAGATATTGTGTATAGTCCCAGTTTATATCCCATATGTGCACTGCTTCTTCATTTCATGTCGGGTAAGTACCAATACTATTTATTACACACACACACAAGGGCCGATTGTTGCTGAGTTCCATATTAAAGACAAATACTTGCTCATTGGGGTTATACGGATGTACCCATCGCTTTTTGTGCGTGAAGATATGAGATATACGAACTGACATAGGCGGCTGTTAAAATGAAATTCTTGGAAGAGTTTGTCTGTGGTCAAAACTAAATCTACAAAGTACAAGAGGGTGATTTTAAGATCCCCATTAAAGTCCAAAATCAGGCTGAAGACAGAAAATAAATACGGGTAAAGTCAGCATACTTGTTGCTCGGGAAATCAATATAACAACACCAACATAGGGCTACATAGAATTTATGTGAGGTCATGGATCATTGCATGTGTCCCTGAACAATAATGTTACCCTGGCGATAGTGTAATTTAAAAAACCCGCAACCTGCAGCGTCTATAGTTTTTGTGCGAATTGAATGCAATTTGGCATCAGTGCAGGGGTGGAAAATATGCATTAAAAGGCATATTCGATTGTTTTTTATGACGTTGTTTCACAGGGAGTGATAACAACTTTTGAATTTTAAATGAGACTCTGTATACTATTATATATTTCGTTAGAACGTGACATTCTCAATACAATAATACCTCATATGCGAACTTTCGATGCTTTAATTGTAAATTTAAAGTTAAATTTTATCTAGTGTGTCATGACTCATGAGTCATGACTATGTTAAAACAAAGAATTTTTTAGTCGAGGATGATTAGAAATAGTTATTTACATAAAAGTCCCGAAAATGTTACATTACTGGGGAGGAAATATTGAATTTCCGAGTCAGGTAATGTCATTTTACTGACGAGTTTTGTATTAAATTTAATGTTACCATATTTACATGTTGTCAATGCGGGACACCGGGTGCTTGCGGTCTTGGGGGGGGGGCAGCGTCACCCAACCAAAAGAGGAAGTTCAGGTGTCCTCTCCCATGATAATGTAAAACTTACAAACTAATGAATTTTTAATTTCTACCCCCCCAATATACAGCATGACAATTCTGCAAGTCTTGTAAGAAAATTTGCTTCTTACTTGCTCTTACTCGAATTCCGCATAACATAAGGCCAATGCGAGACAAGGGGTTTGCGGGATTGTAGATTTGGAAACGGGACACTACCGCTCAATGGTATCATTAATTAATTAAATTTTACCCGAAATCGTCTTTTAATAAAAATTTAAATTTTTATATAGAATTTTTTATTAATATCAATCTGTCAGTGATGACAGGAGTCATTATAAACATTTGCAAATGTCAAAAAGGCGGGCGGTAAAGTGACAGGCGGCAGCAAACGTAGTCATGGAAACTACCTACGAGGGAAACTAGAATTTCTTGATTTTGGTTAAAAGTGCTTTTTAACAAATGTCTGTATGTGGGGATGTGTTTGCGAGTGTGTCTGTATGCATTTGAAACAGATGTTCTCTTAAATCAGGGGTGCTCAAACTTGAACCACTCTACCTCATTGTTGTTAGACCCCATCGAATATTTCTCGAGATCAATACCAAAAGCGCTTGCGATCGACCGTTTGAGCACCCCTGCTTTAAATGGTCTTGAGAGCTGAAAAGCTTTTGGAAGCGACTCAAAAAAGGCCGAAATTTCGTACAAATGGTCTCTATGGACCTGAAAGCTGAGAAAATTTGGGAATTTATGGAAAAATTTGAAATGTTCTTTTGGCTTAAAAACTTATCTCGAAACTTATATTTATTAATAAGGTGTTTGCAACAAAATTTTGTTTGAGAGAAAGCAGTGGAAATTTTAGGTCACGTCTAATATTAATTAGTTTGACAGCTTGCGTTAAGAAATTATTACCTATACTCTATTCATTTTAAGAAGGTAGCGGTAGCATAGGGAAGCTATGACCTTCACTGTGATTGGTTAAAACATTAGTCAGTATTACAATGAAACATAAAACGACTGGTGAATTTTGTAAGGTGGTAGTTTATGTTGCCAACTAAACTGCCGAAGTGTCAGTAGCTGTTATTGTCAAAGGTTTATTTCTGTTCGCAGTGCTGAATATTTCTACTTTACAATAATTTGGTGCCGTTTTATATTTTTCCTGTGTGTGTTTATCTTCAAACACAGCGCCATCTACTACCTTCTTATAATGAATGCAGTATAGTGAGTTGATTGCATGATTGAATAGAGTTGTGTACAAAATAATAGCCGTGTAATACACTGATCGGTGCAGTTGGTGGCCATTTTTTTCATTTGAAAATCGAGTGCCAAATTCTTGACAGAACAGCTTCCTAGGTCAAACCAGATATTTAACTTAATCAAGATAACCGTTTTGGCAAAAAAAATTTCAAACATTGGCATACGAGGTGTTACTGTATTCATGAGACCAGGTTCTATTGAAATGTGTAATAATATACACTGTGTCCTAAATTTGGGAGTGACCATTGGAATCTTGAAACCAGTAAGAAATAATACGGAGTCGGTTAAATGGAGGCAAGGTTACATATTTTTCGATTAATTCGAACGCTGCTTAGAAAGTGAAGGGATTTTTTCAGAGAAATACCATCCGCACACCTGCGCATGCGCGATTTTGCCCAAAACTTTTCAGCTTTTTTTTAATGCACCAAATTTGGTGCCAATGGGTTCAGTTGTTTAGCCGGAAATAAGAGTACAGACTGACAGACAGACCAACATCATCGAGGTGCAGTGGCAGGTGGGCCAAATTTAAATAAAGACCAATAAAATTTAAAACAGTATGTACCAATATCGCATTATTATTGGGCTATTCTAATTAGACTTTGAATTGGCAATCTTTCCAAGTAACACTTTTTGGCAACGTATACTTGTTTATATTTCACTCATTTCTATGTTTGTTAAATATGTCTTATAAATTCGCGTTTAGCCTTTATACTATAAGCATTTGTGTAGCTACACAATAAAAGCTAAACGCAATAGTGTTGCAGAAATATTGTCGATGATCATTATTGTTTAGGTACAACTCTATTACAATAAATAATTGTTTGGTTTTTGCTCTCGATAAGGATAACTTTTTGGAATTCTTGAGGGAATTCCCAAAAACTCGTACTGACTTAAACTTATATATTTAGCACTTTTAATATCTTGGCACGGTGTATTTTGAGTATCTATTTTTACCTGTATTTACTATTTATAGGAGTGCAATATCAGAAATTTCTTTATAGAATTGTAAAGATAGAAACTACAGGTACACCAGGTGCCAAATCGGAACTGTGCGTGTCATACCAAACAAGAGATGTGGAATGTGTGCCGAATTAGTAGATCAGATTAGATGAGTAAACATGACTAAGGGAAAACTAATCAAGCTGTCTTGCTCGTAGAGTATTTTTAAACAGATAGACAAATTAATCAGTACTAGGTGAAATGTTTTCAGGTACATACATAAGTAATAACTTGGCACCAAGTTGGTGCCTTATTTTGTAGTGTTTATACTACAAAGTCAACGAAGTCATAGGTATGGGGAAATATGGTGTCAAATGGCGTAGATTTCGAAAATGCAATAAAATACAGGGTGTTCTATTTAAAATAAGAAAGTTGCTATCCACATCCGGTAAAACCGGAAGTGAAACGATCATGATAATATTTTCTTTCGATAGATCATGAAAAACTATATCGGTATGCAAATTTTCAGATTTAAATTATTAATGGGAGTCTGAATACTTTTAGGTAACAGTTTGCGTGAAACAGCCTTATATTACGATTGATCTAGGTTTCATAAAAAATTCAAAAGTGGCCCTTGGTGAGTGCCAACAGAAGGGACTCTCTCTCACTCCTTGGTTCCCTTCTTTTTGGCGCGATGTATTTGTTATCGAAAAAAAAAACTCTGTCGCGCGTTCGACATCGACCATTGAGAGACGATGGCCTTACTAACTGCGCTAATCAGACTGTCCGCGATACACGGTGTCCATTTTTCGAGTATCTTTAAGAGATAGAAAGTTGGTTAAATGGGGACAAAGTTACCAATTTTCGTGATGAATAAGAATCGGAAAAGAAATTTGAAATATCTTCAATAGTTCAGTAGTTTTGAAGAAAAATTTCTGATTTTCGTTTTTAATTTTTTTATGATAAACTAATCGTAGTATACATTTCTAATTAATACATTATTCGGACACTTTTTAATTGAGTTTTCAAATATGGCATCCTGTTTTTAATATCTTTCAAGATGACCCAGAAACACGTGGCAACTTTAGTTTTTCTTATAGGCGTCATTTTGAATTTTCACATTTTGAGATTGCCTCTTTTTTTCTCTTTACAACGATATATGACACATGGTGGTTCAGTATCACATTTTTTCTAAAACTACAATTTTTAGTTTTTTGAGAAGAGTGCTTTGGAAAAACAAAACGTAAACAAAAATTTGACAGTTTAATCCATCTGTCTGGTTGCAGCGTTGTCAGAGAAAAAAATTAAAAATTGTATTTTTAGGAAAAATGTGATAACTGAACCACCATGTGTGATATATCGTTGTAAAGAGAAAAAAAGACGTAATCCCAAAATGTCAATATTCAATATGGCACCCATAAGAAAAACTAAAGTTGCCACGTGTTTCTCCGTCATCTTGAAAGTAATTAAAAACAGGTTGCCATATTTGAAATATCCATTAAAAAAAATTAAAAACGAAAATCAGAAATTTTCGTTTTTTTGCGATATTCAAATTTCTTTTCGGATTCTTATTCAGCACGGAAATTTGCAACTTTGCCCCCATTTAACCAACTTTCTATCTCTCAAGATAAGTGAGATCCCTATAGTGGCACTCGAAAAATGGACACCGTGTATATGTGCTCTCTTCCACTGTTTTATAAAGGTGTCAAACGAATAATAATGCATTTTATTCACTTCAAAGCTATTAAATAAGCCTTAAATGTATGTAACTGTCAACGACACATTGAAGAGTTGAATGCCATTTTTCCATTCAAATGCGCTTCAATAATGCTGAGCTCGTCTTTGTTTTTGAAGGTATTACCTGACCATGACGGATGCG